AGAGACCCCACACCAGCCCGCCCAGCCACAGCAGCCCAGCACCGTGGATGGGAACCGCAGACTTGGTCTCCGCTCGACCCGCTGGGACACCCCGGCGGTCCCCACTCCCCAGAAAACACCCCTCTCACGCACCGAGCCTGGCTACGGTCAGAAAGGCTCAGCAGAGCTTGGGGGGGACCGCCTTCCAACCTGGCTGCCGCTTTTATTTTATGTGATTTTTAACTGGGAAAGCATTTATGTCTTCAGACTCGTCTAGCCAACCAAGGAGGCAGTTTGCTGGGGTTTGGCCAGGTCCGGACTCCCTGGTGTGTTTTAACAGCGCGCACTGAGCCTGCCGCTCTGCAAGGAGAAGCCAGACACCTCCAGCAGCCCAAACTCACGTGCCCATGCAGCTTCTCAGACTTCCAAAAAGAAAAAAAAAAACAAAATAAAATAAAAATCACACTTTCCCAGCAGAGAAGCGCGCAGCGTAGTCACCTCAAAGGCCTTCTTTTCCAGCTGATGGCGCTTTTCAGCCTCCTGCAGCTTCGTGAACAGCCTCTTTGCCGTCTGTCGGATCTTTTCCACATCTTCACCTGAGCAGTCCTCCTCCTGCGGAGACGGTAACAGGAGAGGATGAGCAGTCGGGAGGTATCAAAGGAGCCCTCCACCCCAATGTGGGCAGCGCTGTTGGTGACAAAGCCTGGTAACGTCACTTCTCAGCTTGAAAAAAAATGAAAGGCGCTCCTGTCCTCACCTCCCACACTTGAGGGACAGCTTCCAGCCCTCCAGATAACGCGCACAGTATCCTTTGGTTGCCTTCCAAGCCCTGTTTACAGGATGCCATCCTGATCTGCGCTTGGGCAACCTGAAACCCCGCAACGTGAACCAGGTCCACAGCAACCCAGCCCGAAACCCCAGCCCAGAGCATCTGTCCCAGCCAGGGGAAAGGCGAAGAGCTGGAGAAATATTTACCAGCTTAAGATTCCTGTTATCTCTTCTGCTAAAAAAGCTCTCGTGTGCAGAGATTTAAGAACCCATTATGCACGTTTTTATTGCTCTAATAGAGCTGCACTCCGTTCCTGATCTGACCCTGATAAAAAGACTAGTTTGCTGCAGGAGCGCCTGATCGTGTGCGGAACAGGTTTGAAGTTACCAAGTTATCAAACTGAACCCGATATTTCTTTCCACAGCGCTGAAATCCCCCTCTTTAGCTCCATACCTGGTCCTCCCAGGAATCGGCACGCAGGCTCTCGGGGTACAGCCAACTCCCGTTCTGCTTTTCCAGCATGACCTACGTAAGCAAAGGACAGACGGACAGGGATGTAACGCCAGCCGGCACAGCCGCTTGCGCGAGAGCGCAGTCGCATGCAGACAGCTAGCTCTGGGGCACCGCAGCAACTCGAGACCGAGGTTTTTTTCTGCAAACGAACATGCAATAGTGCATTTGGCCAGCCAATGCGTTTTGCTTACTGACTCCTCGTTACGTGCTTGCGCGGGTTTCGAATTTTGCCTGTAAATGGTGCCATGGTGGCTTTCATTCACCACAAATGCCTCGATCTTTAAGGCCCCTTCTATCATTTTCCGGACCCGAAGATGACATCTTTTTAATAAGTCAATGTCATTTAATGCCCGAGAAATGCTCCCGTTACCTGTGCATGCTGTTTATCTCCTTGTCTGTTCTCAAGTTTACTACTTAAGTCTTCCCGCAGCTTCTTCAAAGAACTTCTAGCCTGGCAAAGGCAAGTCAATTTAGCTTGATCTGCATGGACAGTGTCACTCAGCCTAATCAGAAATCAAACGAAGACACGGCAGCTGCTACGATGCCCTGCGCCGATACGCAATCGATGGCTTCTCTGCCAGCCTGACCCCCTGGTTTTACTACAGCCCTGCCTGCAAGCAGCACCGTCTCTGGCAGATACGATCCTTGCGAGGCAGCTGTGCCACACGATCATGGGGGAAAAAAAAAAATTGGGGAAAAAAAAAAAGCAACAATCTGGAGACGCTACTCATTTTTCATGCATTAGTCATTGACTTCACATTTGAAGTGCTGAGAAGACCCTTGCTGTTCCCCAGCTCCCTCTCTGCCACGCTGCAGGACGCCGACAAGTACAGTCTTGACTTGCAGCTACTCGAATTAGTCAGAGCAAGTGAGCCAGAGGAATGATTTACAGGCTTTTACAGCAAACGCTGCCCCAACGCTTTTCAAAGAAAAGCTTTCTCAAAGCATTAACAGCGTGGCTTCATCCCTACCCCTTGATTTTAGATGCCAGAGGCACTGGGGCGAAGCAGTTTGCTGGAGAGCAGGCAGCAGCAGGGCAGGGGACAAGGCGAGAGCACGACGTGCAGCTCTCGGGTCAGCAATCGAGCCCTTAACCCGGGGACAGCGATCCAGCTGGATCAAAGACATCCCCAGGGTTTTTACACCATGACCCAGCCCAGGGCACTTCTCTTGGATGCGGACAGACTGGTACCGCCACCGTGACTTACTGGTTTAGCTTATTCTCTGGTTTTCACATGCAGGATTAAGTCGTACTGCACGGTTATGCTGCTTCAGCTATTCTGATAGGGCTACGTACAGCCTTTGCGGCCAGACAAGGTCCAAGCCCCACTCAACTATTGCTAAGAGGCCCTTTTAAAACCTGACTCCTGTTTCCATCCGAGCTGTGGGGAGCTACGGGAAAGCTCAGATCAGAAGAGCTGAAGTCGAAGCCCCAGGAGTGGGGAGGGTCACGCACAAAAACTGCGGCATCCAGGTGGCTGCGAGATAAGGTCTGGGTAAGCAACACCCCCGGAGCGCTGCAGCCCTGGGCAGGCGGGGGCCAGGCAGGAGGCAGCGGGAACAGGCTGTTTTCTTTCGGGCGAGAAAAACATGCATTTTGGCAGAGGAGTCAGAAGGATGACGTAAAAGATCTGGAGGCCGCCCTGCCAGATCTGCCCCTCGCTGCTCCCTGGGGCCAGCACCCAGCACAGAAACTCCCCATGAGAGCAAACCCAAATTTAAATATTTTTTTCCCCCTTTTTCTCTTTTTTTTTTTTAGGCCAAGCTGCCCAGACCAGAACATGCATGCAACCGCTTCCGTGCCTTGCAACCAGCTCTCCAGAAATAACATCCCCACCAGGAGCAGAGGAAAGGGTTAATCTTCCGAGAGCCTCATCATCCAGTTTACTTTGGGAGATGAGACATACCAAAGAAACTGCCTTTTAACAAGAGGCTCCGGTTGTGCCGCGCCCAGGCATGCAGGGGACAGCCTTGGGGGAAAGTCATCACGCAATTCTCTTCAAATTCAGTCCATATAGCAGAGCAATTAGTCAGGCTGAATTAATTTATGGCACTTGATTAGGCTACTGCCCTGTACGGGCAAGTCAACAAACTGGAGACTTCAGCTCCGCTGCCAGTTTGCCGTAGTGGTTGGGGCTCAGCCGGGGCTCGAGTGCCACAGCCAGCGCGGGCATCGCCGCCCACTCGCATGAAGCCCCGTGGGACGTCCCCGGGGGAAGCAGAGCGCCCCGGACCCTCGCCGCAAGCCCCCGCGAGTTCAGGCAGCGGCACGCAAGCCAGAGCCCCTCCCCGCGGACGTAAACTACCTCTTGAATGTAACGAACTTCACTTTTCAGCTGGTTGACGTGCTCCTCGTGGTTCATGCTGCCCTCGGCCCGTGCCTTGAGATAAACCTGCCCAGGAGAGGTGGTGGCAGCAGGTCAGACCGTCCTGACTCCGGCCAGCCCAGTAATGCCAGCAGCAAGCCCAGCTCCGCAGGGATCGGGACACCGGATCTCACTGCTTCCCGAGACACGCTGTCCGCAGGTTTCCCCTTTGCAGTTAACCTTCCCTGGCGTTTTTTGAAGCTGCTCCTCCTCCTGTGTGACCCCCACCCCGCAGACCCACCGCAGCTGCCCCAGGTTCACGCTGCATCCCCCCCAGCGCTGGGGAAGCCCACCGAGCTGGTGCTGCCAGCCAGCAGCACTGCACCAAGCCTCCTGCCCGCCCGGATCAGGAGCTACGCCGGGGAGCTTTTTGCTGGTGTAGCTTCAGACCAAACCTTTTTTCCAGCCCCAATTATTAAACAAGATTGCTTTGCAACAAAGCCGGGGAGCCAGGGACTGTACCTTGATGATCTCCTCATCGCCATCGTTGGATTTGATGCATTCGGAGGCCAGGGAGTGACCGTTGCTGGATCTGTTGGCCACCATCGCGAAGGCTTTTCCTACTGGCTGCAAGAGACAGAAGCAGCAGGGCTTTCAGAGAGGCGAGACTGGCTGGAACGGTTCACCCGGCTCCAGTCAAATGAGCATTGTGCACTTTTGCCGAGGAACGCGGTGCTGAGCACGGCCTCGGGAACCGGCATCGAAACGTTTAACAGACCAGGCGGTGACTTTTCTAGTTCACGAAGCATAAAGCGACTGATCCTCCACCAAACGCCCGTTCCCCCCCTCCCTAAGTTAACTCACAAACTTGTATTTTCAACTCCAAACCGAGCCGTGGGGGAGACCTACCTTCTGCTTCGGCTGCTCGCGCCTGTCGCCCGGGAGGTCATTCGGCAGAGTCAGCCGCAGCACCTTCACGCTCTCCTAAAACAAGAGGCGGGTTTTAGTTTTATAAGTCCCTGGTTATAAAAGGTTATGAGGTTATCCAGGTATGAGCCGAGAGCCAGGTCAGCATCGCTGCAGAGGCGCGGACAAGCTGCCTTCCTCCTCGGTTTGAGCTGCAGCCTGCGAAGGAACGCTGAGATTAAAATGAGTAATAGTGAGCGCACGACAACTGCATTTATCAAACCCATCAGGGCTTGGAGGAGCCGTGGCCCAGCCAAGGCTGAGGTAATGCAGACGGGCTGGAGAAGCGATTGCCAGGCTCATTTTCATGCATGCCCTCCTCTGCCAGGAGTCATGGCCCTCATCGGCTACGGCGGGGCGGGG